GTGCCGTCTAGTCAGTTCTGACTCACAGTGACACTGCATAGTGTTTCCAAGGCTTTAGATCTCCCTGGCAGCATAAAGCCTCATTTTTCTCCTGTATGGAGTGTCTGGTGGGTTCAAACTGAGGAACTTGTGTGTATTGTATAGAGACACCGCACTCCTCATGGATACTACCTTAGGATAAGATAAAAGCTAGAGTGAGCTAAAGAATATTTGAACTATACAACCAAACAGTTGCCTAAGCAAAAGGTGAAACTAAATTATATTCCTACTAGTACTGAATGAAAGTGACTTACTGCCTCCTGCTCTCTCCAACCCTCTCTACCTCTCCTATTAATATGTACCCCATTATTGTTTCAATTTGTAACTGGATTTCAATGCACTTGAACATTTCCTAATATTGTTTTATCATTTCGTGTAGGCCTATATTTTTATTTTGTAAAAGTGTTTTCAATATCAAGGCTACTAATTCTTCATCAGTCATACGTCAGAAAATGCTTCATCCTTCTGCTACTTGCCTTAAAATTTTGTTAATAATGCTTTAAACTTTTATGTGGTTATTTTTATATTTTTTTGTATGGTTTCCAATTCTGTTTACATGCTTAGAAAATAGTTCCCAGATGTATTTAACAACAGCTATAACGTGATTCCACATGCATACATGGAAAATAGGATTGGGGCTAAGGATAAGCATAGGAAAATTGCTTTTGTTTTGTTTTGCTTTGTTTTTTTTGAGGACAATAGCTTATTATATCGCCATATTTTATATATACATCTCATAGGAAGCTAAGTCAAATATAACATTCATTTGTATGTGCAAATTCTTAACATTCACTTATGGTTTAAGTCCAAACGTGTCATATGAAGTACATAAGTGCAAATGCTCTGTAATAAGTTATCAAATGATTCTCTGATGTCCATCCACTCTTAATAATAGCTAATCTACTTATGTTTCAAATTCTCAAGAAAGAGAATTTTAAGTATAAAAGCAAGAGCGTACAAGTCTGTCTGACCTATCTGAGTCACCAATCATTAGAAATATGACTTTCCTCATAGTAGTATCATCTCCCCAAATACGTAAGTACGGTTGGAGTTTTTCAAGTCATAAATTATTATTTTTATTTTTTAACTTGGTATACTTCTGTATTGTTTTGTTTGTTTTAAAATGAAAGCAATAACTATTATTACTCCTTATAGGACAAACTAAAAATTTTTATACCTTTAATTTTGACTTTGGCCATAAAATATGAAATTTCTGTTCTATAATAAATGTTTAAAAAAGTTCTGTATTCCACCTAACCCTTCATTTACTCCTACCTCTGAAGAAAGATGGTTAACTCTGATTTTTGATGTGAAATATATAGTGCTCTTCTCTTCCTACCAAGTGGTATGTATAGATGGGTCTTAGCCCAGCCTACCTACTAAAGCAAGTGTGGGGGTCTCATCTCTTTCCCAATCACCAAAGTCTATGCTAGGGAACAAATACAATATTAGGAAGCCCAACCATAGTTGCTTCTTTAAGGTATGTATACATTCCAAATTGAAACAATAATGGGGAACATATTAATAGGAGAGGTAGAGAGGGTTGGAGAGAGCAGGAGGCACTAAGCCACTTTCATTCAGTACTAGTAGGAATATAATTTAGTTTCACCTTTTGCTTAGGCAACTGTTTGGTTGTATAGTTCAAATATTCTTTAGCTCACTCTAGCTTTTATCTTATCCTAAGGTAGTATCCATGAGGAGTGCGGTGTCTCTATACAATACGCACAAGTTCCTCAGTTTGAACCCACCAGACACTCCACAGGAGAAAAATGAGGCTTTATGCTGCCAGGGAGATCTAAAGCCTTGGAAACACTATGCAGTGTCACTGTGAGTCAGAACTGACTAGACGGCACTTAACAGCAACAAGGCGCAGTATGCATAGTTTTAAGGAGGCTGTTTATACCTCTGCTAATAAATGCATAAAGTTTAGTAGCAATCTATGCCTCTAAAATGGGAGTTTGTACTAAAAAATGAAATGTATTCTGAAATGGAATTTTATGCAATCAAGTATTATAGAAAATACCAAAGTTTTGTGATGTTTCATGTATGTAAAGACAAAGGATATTAAAATAAAACTATATAAAATGAGATCTTGTTTTGATTTTGTTAATCTCCATCTGTCAACTCCTGCATCTATTACTCAATGAGTTCTGAACTATGGGAGGAATTAAAGGGCATAAGCAAGTCTATCACAAGATTATACATACATATATATATACATATGTATGTATGACTTTTACACATGTGCAATTAATTTATCTACCAAAAAACTGGATTATGGTATGAAATTACATGAGGTTCCCGTACCTGCTGCTTATCTTGCAATGCATTTTGGGCTGTGTCCAAATGATTCTGTAGATCTGCTCTTTGAGCAGTTTTTGCAGCTTCTGCTGATAGCAATAATTCAGTTTTAGCTTTAATCTGTAACAAAATATACAAGTTATTTAATTCAAATTTAGTTCTCAATTTCCTCTTGCTTGAACACACAGTTTTTATTATTAACTTAATAAAAAAAAGTCCTTTGAAAAGAACATAAATATTTAGGCAATGAAAAAATGTGTGTGAAAAAAACTCCAAATGTTATCGACAAAGAAGACTCCTAATAACATTTGAATAAATGATGAAAAGATGTTCCTATAAAGCACAAAGACACTAGTACTCTTTTGCTAAGATAAAGACTGAATACTTTATTGTAAAGGATCACTAAAAGTGGCTTTCTGAAGCTTGTCTAAGGTTATGATAAATTAAATGGCCATGCCACAGAAAATTATATCCACATCGAAACTAGCAGACAATGACAAATTGAAACTACTATGTGAAATTCAGGATTCCCTGATGTCTTAGGCTGGGTTTTCTAGTGAAGCAAAACCATGGCGGGGAAAGACAAATTAAATATATATATATATACATGCAAAGATGTCCGTTATCAAGGAAATGGCTCACAACTGTAGAGTCTCAGATATCCTGTGGAAGAGACAAAGAGACAGTCCCCCTCCCATTATACAGGGAGTAGGCCACTCCCCTAAGGAAGCAGCCCTTCAATTGATTGGCTGTTCATAGCCACTCATTATAGTGATAACTATGCCTGTATTAGGTTTCATCACCATGGGAATAAACACATCCCAACTACTAAACCTCGGGATATCTTCTCCTAGTCAAGCTGATACAGCACCCTCACCATTACACCTGACAAATTCTCACTTAAATGGTTTAAACTTTGATGCTCATAAAAAGTCAAGAAATGACATTAAAAATTCAAAGCTTTCAACAATAAGATTGAAATAAAATCAACCAAGTAAAACTATCTGTCTGTCCTTTTATAAAAAGTATTTAAATAACTTTAGCATAACTCATCTCATAAAAGAAAGAGTAAAACAATGAGACACACATATTTACAATTAAAGTATCTCAAGGAGAGGGGAAGAGGAGAATTTTTTTATAACTGGATGTAGAAAAGACTGACAAATGTAAAAAATCTAAGAGGGGACATTCTTTTAATAGGTGGAATATAAGATTGATAAATGTAAGAAATCGCTTAAGATTTATACAGCATGGGTAATTTTACACAGAAATGAAAAAAAAAAAAAAAATCAAAGAATTCTTTTCAAGAAAAAAAAAATCAAAGAATTCTTACATATTTACATTTTTACAGAAACCATGGTTATATGTAGGTATCTAGATCTAATCCAAATTAAAAGTAAAAACTAAAATACTTACACATTAAATAAACAGTAAATCAAGTAAACAGTAAGTCAAGTATAGATTTGACAAACTGAACATAATGACCTAAGACCAGATGAATAGTAGGATGACATCAAGGACATCACATATGAAGAAAATAAAAAGTCATTTAAAAGACAGGAAAGACAAAAATGGATGTCAGAAGGGACTCAACCTTGCTTTTGAATGTAGAGAAGCTAAACCAGCTAGAAGAAATGATGAAGTAAAACACAAAGGGCAGCTGAAGGAGATAAAGTAAAGTATTAGAATGAAAAGTGTAACTGGAGTTAGAAAACTCAAAGGGAAGAACACGCTTGGCATTTCTCAAGCTAACAGAACTGAAGAAAAAATTCAAGCATCAATTGCAATATTGAAGGATTCTACTGGTAAGTTGTAGCATGGGATAAGAACACAAAGTGCCATGGACTGCCAGAACACCAAACAAATCTGTGTTGGATGGCATACAGCCAGAATGCTCCTTAGGAGCAAGAATGCCTCTCATATTTCGGACATATTATCAGGAAGGACCAGTCCTTGGAGAAGGACATTATGCTTGGTAAAGTGGAGGGTCGGCAGAAAAGAGGAAGACCCACAATGAGATGGACTGGCACTGTAGCAATAGCAATGGGCTCAAACGTAACAAAAATTGTGAGAATGACACAGGAAGAGACAATGTTTCATTCTGTTGTGCGTAGGGTCTTTATGAGTCAGAACCAACTCAAAGGCACATAACAATGACAATAATGATGGAAAAGATATTGAACAATACAGGAAGCATCAAGGGATGGCGGAAGGAATACATACAGTCACTAAACCAAAAAGAATTGACCAACATTCAGCTATTCAGGAAATAGCATATGAACAAGACTTGATGGAACTAAAGGAAGAAGTTCAAGCTGCATTAAAGGCATTGGCCAAAAATAATCAAGGTTGTAGGAATTGACAAAATATTAACTGATATTCCAACAAATGGATGCAAAGCTGAAAGTGTTTACTACACTATGCCAATAAATTTGGAAGACAGCTAGCTACCTTGCCAACTAACTGGAAGAGATCCATATTTGTGCCCATTCCAAAGAAAGGTGATACAAATGATTGAATAATTTATTTGGCAACATCATTCATAACACATACAAGTAAAGTTCTGCTGAAGATATTTCAGAAATGGTTGCAGCAGTGCATCAACATACACCTGCCAGAAATTCAAGCCAGATTCAAACAAGGAAGTAAAATGAAAGCTATCATTGCTGATGTGTGATGGATATTGGCTGAAAGCAGAGAACACCAGAAAGATGTTTACCTGCATTTTTTGGCTATGCAAACTCAATATGATTGATTGTATGGATCATAACAAACTATGGACCACTTACAAAGCTTGGAAATTCCAGAACAGTTAAATAGTGCTCATGTGAAACTTACACACAGACCAAGAGACAGTCATTTGAACAGAACAAGATTTAAAAATCAGGAAAGGTACGCATCCGACCCTTATCCTTTCACCATACTTATTTAATCTATATGCTGAGCAAGTAACCTGAGAGGCTGGATTATATTTAAGAAGAACCAGAGTCAGGATTGGAAGCAAGGTCATTAACAACTTGCAGATGACTATGCAAATGACACAATCTTCCTTGCTAAAAGTGAAGAGGACTTGAAGCACTTACTGATGATCAAACATGACAGCCTTCAATATGAATTATACTTCCTCTGCCCCTTTCCCGTCCACCGTTCTCTCTTAATTAGGACATCCATGTATTGGGCTATCATACAACTCAGCATATATTATAATATTTCATTACTAATTATATTATTTCTAATTCTCCTAAAATAAAGAAAATTAAGGATTAGGAATATTTTACACTTTTTTCTGTGATAGTTCAGAATAGGAAACCACTGATGAGAATAGTAAAGGAATATGTCTGAATTTCCATTCATGATAGAATCATTGTTCAACTGCTATATTAGCCTCTAAAAGAATATGCAAATATAATCTTACCAAATAAATATTTAAAAAAAGAAAAAAAAAATTTCAGACCTTTAAAATAAAATTAAGAAGTAAAAGTTAAAAAATATTTAACATGGAAATCTAATGGTATCATAGTAAATTAATTTAAGCTTCAAAAATCATAAGAAGGGCTTGATCAAGACAAGAAAAAGCAAAAAGATCCAGCACGTTCAGGAGGTATAATCTGCAAGAAACGCAAAAGAGAAGCAAAACTGGAAAACTCAACTATCTAGATACCAACATCATCTAATTCCCATGCCTACTTTGTTAATATGAATGGGTCATAAGAAAGAAGAGCATCTTAATTTAAAACATTTCAAGGTCTAAGAATGATGGTTTAGTCATACAAACTCATGGATTACCTGTATGTCTAGCTGGGAGACCTTCTCCTTACTCTCATTTAATTGACTATTTAATTCAGTCACATGGCTTTCTAGGGAAAGAACACGGTCTTGTGCAGCTCTTAGATGGACCTTCTGCTCCTGCACTTGGTCGTGCAAATTTTCCTGGGCTTGTTTATGGCTTTCTGACTGGTTCTTCAGCTTCTCTGTTAGCTGAGTTACCTATAATAAAAGGAAGACACTATTTAGGAAGTTCACAAATGATATAACATGAACTAGAAAGTCCCAACATAAGCATCATGGTGGTGGTGGTGGTGTGCCATGGAGTTGGTTCCAACTCAGAGTGACTCTGTATAGGGCTTCTGAGGCACAAAGCCTCCCACAGAACTGCTGATAGTTTTGAACTACTGACCTCGAAGTCAGCAGCCCGACTCGTAACCACTATGCTACCAAATTCCGTATCCTCCTCATATTCCTAACTCTCCTTCTTCCTGTTATTCTAGGTGAGGAGAGTGGCTTAGATAGCCACTTGCAAATTTTCAAGAACTTAGGTACTATGCAACAAACAATAGAAGGTAGAACAGAAGCACTAAACATCAGATAATTTAACTGAGATTTCCCATGAAACCATGACCCTAAAACTTCAAACCAAGAAGCCAAATCCCATGAGGTGTTTGATTGTACATAAGCAGTCTCAGCAGGTAACCTTTTTCTTTCTTTCTTGTTTTTGTAAATACAAGGGAAGTTCAAAATGAAAAACTTTCATATCTTTTAATTGCATCTTTCCATAAACTTTTTGAAGCCCTCTTGTGTACTTACTTTTACCAATAACTTTTTACAGGTGTTCAGCAGTTGTATTGTAATTGACAGTAATTACAATAATCAGCCGTGCAATTCTACCCTTAATCAATGTGACTTTTCCATCACCATTCGCAAGTATTTTCCTATATCTTTGGCTAAAATGCATTTGCCTTTTCTTGCCTCTTTCTATAAATGAGATTATATTTGACTTATTTCACTCAGCATAACATTTCACATCTCCACATTTATTGTAGCATGTGTCAAGACTTTGTTTCTTCTACTGGTTTGTATCACATTTATTTTTATACATTCATCTGTTGATGCTCATGTAGATTGTTTCTACTTTTTCATTATTGTATATAATGCTACAGTAAACATTGGTGTGCATGTATTTGAGTCTCTGCTTCAAGTTATTTTGGACTTCTGCTGTGGCTCTGTGGATCAGCAATGGGCATCGAACCACGAGGATAGCAGTTTGAGCCCACCCATTGCTCCTTGGAAACCATACAGGGAGTCACTATGAGTTGGGACGAGCTCAACAGCACTTAACAACAACAAAGGAGTGGAGTTGCTGGATCCTATGGCAGTTCTGGAGTCCTGGTGTAGTACAGTGGGTTAATGCGCTAAACTGCAAAGTCGGTCTCAACCACAAGACTAGTGGTTCAAGCTCACCAGCCACTCCTCAGAAACCCTATACAGGGTTGCTACAGGTCAGAACCAACTCGACAACCCTTAACAACAACAACAACAATGGCAGTTCTATTTTTAGCCACTGGTTTCACAACAGCTGTACCAGTTTACATTTAAAACAGCAACGTGTAAGCATTCCAATTTCCCCACATCCTCTCCAACATTTGTTATTGTTGTTGTTAGATGCCATCAAGTCGGTACTCATAGCGACCCTATCCACAACAGAACAAAACACTGCCTTGTCCTGGGCCAACCTCACAATTGTTGCCACGCTTGAGCCCACTGACGCTGTCACTTTGCCAGTCCATCTCACTGGGGGTCTTTCTCTTTTTCTCTGACCCTCCACCTTACCAAACATGATATCCTTCTCCAGCAACTGCTCCCTCCTGACAATATGTCTGAAGTATGAGAGATGAAGTTTGGCCATCCTGGCCTCCAAGGAGCACTCTGGCTGCACTTCTTCCAATACAGATCTGTTGGTTCTTTGGGCACTCCAACATTTGTTACTGTATTTAATTTTTTCAATCTTAGCCATCCTGTTGTTGTCAGGTGCCATCAAGTGGGTACTGACTCAAAGCAACCCTATGCACAACAGAAGGAAACACTGCTCGGTCCTAGGCCAACCTCACAATCATTGCTATATTTGAGCCCTTTGCTACTGTCACTGCGCTAATCTATCTAGATGGGGTCTTCCTCTTTTTCTCCGACCCTCTACACTTTACCAAAACTGATATCCTTCTTCAGGGACTGGTCCCTCCTGACAATATGTCCAAAGTATGAGAGACGAAGTCTGGCCTTCTAGCTCCACATGAGCATTCTGGTTGTACTTCTTCCAACACAGATTGGTTTGTTCTTTTGGCAGTCCATGGTACTTTAAATATTTCTTCTCCTACACCATAACTCAAAGTCATCAATTCTTCTGTGGTCTTCCTTCTTCGCTGTCCAACTTTCACATGCATATGAGGTTTCTAAAAATACCATGACTTGAGACAGGCACACCTTAGTCTTAAAACTGACATCTCTGCTCTTAAACACTTTAAAGAGATCTTATCTGGCAGATTGAACTAATGCAATACGTTGTTTGATTTTTTGACAGCTACTTCCATGAGAGTGAAAGGTATCTCACTGTGGCTTGGGTTTGCATCCCTCTGATGGCTAATGGTACTGAGCATCTTTTCATGTGTTTGGTGTGCACCTGAATTCTCTTGGATGAAATGTGTAGTCAAATCTTTTCATTTTTAAATTGTCGAAGTTCTACATGTATTTGGTTAATAGATTCTAATCATATATATAACTTCTGAAGATATTCTTCCATTTGGCAACTTGTCTTTTCACTTTTCTGGTAAGTCTTTTGATGAACAAAAGTTTTTATGAGGTCCCAATTGTTTGTCTTTTGCAGTTTGTGCTTTTGTTATTATATTAGATAATAAGTCATTTGTTAAAAGCTAGGTCCAATAAACTCCCCCTATATTTGCTTCTAAGAATTTTATGTTTTTAATCTGCATATTTCAGTCCTTATCCCATTTTAGATTTGTTTTTGTCTATGGTGTGAGGCATAGATCCTATTTCATTTTTCTGAATGTGGTACACTTGTATTTTTAATCATATTTTATACTTTTTCAGTTTTTATTTCTATAAATATTTTTCTTCCTCTTTTGTGACTCTAGTAGTTATATATGTGCTTGCTATTAAATGATGTTGAATCAATTCTGACTCATAGTGACCTTGGATAGCGTTTCCAAGGCTATAAATGTTTGCCAGAGCAGACATCCATTCATCTCTCTTCTGTGAAGCAGCTCAAAGGCATCAATTCTTCTGCGGTCTTCCTTATCCACTGTCCAAAAGGCAGAATCAACTCAACAGCACTTAACAACAACAACAACAATCTGCTATTAGCATCCTGGTATGGCTCTGTAGGATAAGCATTGGACTGTGAACCCTAAGGTCGGTGGTGAAAACCCAGTACAGGGTCACTATGAGTTAGAATCAACTTGAAGTCTCTTAACAAATACAACAATCTGCTCTTAGGTCTAGCCAATGAGATTTTCATCTCAGGTACTTTTATTTTTTATCTCTTTAAGTTCCCTTTTAAAATTTCTATTTCTTTTATTATGTAAATATTTTCCTTTCTAGCTATAAACATATGAATAAGAGCTCCTCTAGTTGTCTGATGATTCCATCATGTTAGTTCAAGATGTGTTTCTGCTAAATTATTTTTCTCTACTTTTAGCTCACGTGTTTTCTGCTTCTTCACATGTCTGGTAAATTTTGTTGTTTATTATAGTTCAGTATGGATTTTGTCTTCTTTTAAAGAATGTTTGGTTTTGTTTCTGCAGATAGTTAATATATCTTTTGGAAAAAAGCTTGTTTTTAAGTTTTGTTCTGTCAGGGGTACAGTAGCTTGTAGTCTAGAGCCAATTTAGCTTTACTCTGAAAAATGATGTTTCTGAGGTCTCTACTGAATGTTACAACTGATCAACCAGGTTTTTCCACTGTGAATGACTGGAACTTGAATACCTCACAGCCCCTTGCCAGCGAGCGCTAAAAACCTTTCAGCCTACAGCTCTGTGATAATTGCTCACTGCCTGGCCTTGCGCAATCCCTCCTTATGAACACATACCTTAGCACTCAGCCAATGGCTCCCATTGATCCCTACTCAGATTCCTGGAGCTTCCTCTTTACATTATTCCCTCCTCTCTGGCATTCAGCTCTACAAATTCAAACTGCCTCAACCTCCCTGATTTCTTCTCACTCAGACCTTAGTTCTAAGGTCTAAAATTAGTGCCTAAAATTATTGTTATTTAATATTTCCTCATTTAGAGAATCGTTTATTTTCCTGAAAACAGCCTCTCTTAACTCTTTTCCATTTGAAACGTATTCATTTAAAATATGTTTCTCTTATACTACATAGGAATGTTGGCACAATAAGCAATTTATTAAAAGATGAAGAGTCCTGGTGTGGCACTGTAGGATAAGCACTGGACTACAAGGCCAGTTTGAACAGCAAGGTCAGTGATTCAAACTCACCAGCTGCTCCTCAGAAACCCTATACAAGGTCACTATGAGTTGGAATTGACTCACCAGCACACACCAACAACAGTAACACATTACCTCTATAGTGGTGGTGGTGGTTGTATGCAGTGGAGTTGGTTCTGACTCCCAGTAACCCTACGTAGGGTTTCCAAGGCCGTCAATCTTTATGGGAGCAGAAAGCCTCATGGGAGATTTATGAAGTTCATGGAAAAATTTCCATTATCTTTTAAATCCATTTTCCTTGAACTTTTTTTAAAGTGCCTTATATATTGTTCAAAGTATAAGTAACCATTATATATTGATCAAAGTATAAGTAACCATTAAGTCTATATATATTAATCACTACACAGTAACAACTAATACTTGGCTCATACCTTTAGTTTGTAAATATCTTTTATTATTCATTCATTTCATTAACTACAATTAGACAAGCACATATCTCTATTTTTCAAAGGAGCTAATAAGATGAAATAATATACCTGTACTCACTCACACAGGCTCTAAATTACATCTTGAGACATGAACTGTAGACTTGCTTTGTCAAATCACGCTGATTTATTTTCACTTCAATAGGAACTCATCTCTAAAGTAGGTAAAATGGTGCTCATTGAAAAATATCATTTTTCAGTGTTTACAGAATTGTTGTTTGAGGTGATGGAAATTTTCAGAAATGAATAGTGGTGATGATTACAGAACATTGTGAATATCATTACTGTGGCTGAATGTACTTACAAATGGTCAAAAGGCAAATGCTTTGTTTCCTTTTTTCCATAATTCCATAATTCCTTTCTCCAAAAAAACTAAAACTTCATTTTGTAACCTGACATATATTTTAATATAAAAGAATTAAAAAGAGTCAGAATGAAGACTTCTTCAAAGAAAACATTTAGTTGCAGTCAGACAAAAGTTGACTGTATAAATGGGGCATATTCACATGCTTACTTGTTCCTGCAATGTGTGGGCTTTTTCTTGTAACTGGTTAAGAACAGCAGTTTCTCCTTCACCAGCCTGAATTTTCGCATAAAGATCTTCTCTTTCTTTTTCTAGTAAGGAAATATTCTCTTGACTTTTCTGTAGTAAGGCTTCAAGGTTCTGTATCTTTTGGTCCTTGTCACCAATTTGACGTAGCACTTGTTCCAGATCATTCTGTAACAAATAAAAACTAGTTTTTACCTTAAAGACTGAGATCTTACAAAGTTATGCCTCAAAAACTTATAGTGGTTGATAACACATTTGATAAATCAAACTCTTACATTTTTAAAACTAATTATTACATATTAACATGGTACATTTAATTAAATAATTAGGACTACTTTTTAAATAACAGATATCTATACCAAACCACATTTTCTCCCCTAATACTCTGACCTCACCTTCTCCTACTCTACTTAATCATTTCACACGTTGTTGTTGTTGTTGTTGTTAAGTGCCATGAAGTCGGTTCCAACCACAGTTTTTAAGGAGTAGCTGGTGAGCTTGAACCACTGACCTTGTAATTGAAACTGACTTCACAGCCCAGAGCATTAACCCACAGCTCCACACCAGGATGGAGACTACTATTTCTTAATTATCCCAGGGACACTCTCACTTTGGATCCTTTGCACTAAATTGTCCCTTATACCTGGAGCACCTTCCTCCAATACCTGAGCACTTTCCTTCCAATGTTTGCTCAAATGTCACCATGTCAATCAGGCCTACCAGGACCATTATATTTAAAATTGCAACCTAGACAAATACTCCTATCTGATTTTTTCTTATTCTCATTCTACAGCAGTTACCATCTAGCATACTAAATGATAGATTTACTTAGTTTTTCATGTTTATCTGCCTCCCTTCACCTCCTATTCAACTAGAAAGTAAGCTACTTGAAACGGGAATTTTATCTGTCTTCTTCTGTCATATCCTAGGTGCCTGACACATATCCTTTCAAATATTTGTTGAATGAACAAAAGTAAACTGCACTGTAACTCATATATACTAACACAGGATCATTCCAATTTCCCAAAGGAACCCATCAGCCAATTCATAATCACAAATCCCTCTTCTTTTACTTTATCAAAGGACTTAAGGCTACACAGCATGATGTAATAGACCACATCTAAGAAAATGCCCCAAAACATTTTGGAGCTAAATGACCCCAAAGCCTTTGATTCTACCTCAATCATTTTTAAAGGCAACCTCTACCCAGAACAAGACATTACTCAGCCCCTTTGTAAACCTTACACTAGCCCTCAATGCCCTGCTGAGACAAAGTCAGAAAAACCTCAGACCATCAATAATTTTTGTAAATATTAAATATTTGAGCTCAGTAACTTTGAAATGTGCTTCTCATCCCTCTAAGTTCCAGTCACTAATTGATGAAAAGCAACCTAACCTCTTTGCTTTCATCCTTTGGTCCTGTTATTAGAACCCCCTTCTCCATATTCCACTAATCTTCTAGAACCAAGTTTTTCCCAGAATGTCACTCTATTTCCAAGTCTTAACTGAAATCTGGTTCTCCCTTTAAAGATAATGATACCCCCTTACCCCTCTCTAGTCTAAGGCTAGTCTAAGACTAGTCTTTTCCTGGTTGTTTTCTGCCATTACCGTCACCTTCATGTGGCTTTCAGGGATATATCATTCACTTATTCTACCAGCTACTCTTTGTTGCTATCATCTGTCTAAGTCCCTACCTCATTCACTGAAGACTTGAGACCTGATTTAGTCTTTCTCTCAATCCCAATTTCTGCCAATTTCCTGGAAGATTCAAGATACATAGAGAATTAAGAGCATAACCTCATCATTCATATTATCTTAATTACTGGACCCTCCACTCATTCTACATTTTAATCTTAGGATCTTGTCATCATTTCTAATTGTTCCAACTAAAAAATTTCAACTATCCTACTTTGTGACCACAACGTCCTGTCTTCCAGCCCTCTCATGATCTTATTTCTGCTCTTCAATGTCAAAAAGACCCCAATATCCTTCTGTTGTTATTAAGTACCATCAAGTCAGTTCTGACTCACAGCAATCCTACATTGGCTTTGTAAGGAGCAGCTGATAGGTTTGAACCACCTACCTTACAGTTTAGCAGTCCAGTGTTTATCTTACAGCACCACATCAGAAACCTAACATTCCTCCTAGTTCAAACTTATACTTTAAGTTCCAGAAAAACCTAACAGTTTAGTTTATATTGAACTCAGTGTCTTTGACCATATTGCTTCCACCTGGAGTATTCTCCTCACTATCAGCATCTTGGCAGGCCCCCTAGAACCTCTGGGTCATCCTTTTTGACTCAGACTGTCACTTCCAAGCAGTTTTCCATGACTGTTCTTTTTCCACATGCTTTCTGGATTAGGTAACTGACCTCTATGTTACCATAATGGTAACCTAGAGCTACGGGCATTGCATGTCTTTAATATTTTTAGGATGTCTCATGTTTCTTCAATGAGAGACTTTTACTAGTCTCTTTTTGTTTTTTACTACTCCACAGAGAAAGTTTGAAATAAGAAAGTGAGTGTGTTCCACTACAGAAAGAGGAAAAGTTGCCATTTTCCAGCTCTGCCTGGATCAAGTTAATTCTGGGATACAGTACAAAATAGTGCTCTTGGTTGAAGGCCAATGCCAAATTCCCCAACCTATTTTTAATACTTATTTCCTTAATACCTTTTATAGTAAAACTCCTAGAAAAGAGTTGTCTTTATTTACTCTCAAACTCTCTCCAATCAGACTTTCTTACCACCTTCTGTATACAAACTATCCTTATCAAGTGATTTCGTTTTTGTTTGAAATGCTAAGAGTTGAAATAATATTCACCTGGGCTTCTCGAAGTTTTGCTGTAGTACTCTGTTGGAGAGCTTGCTGTTCTTGATGCTGTTGCTTTGTTTTATCTAATTGATGCTGCAAATCTGTGGAATTTGTTACTTTTTCCTTCAACTTAAAAAAAAGAAAAAAAAAAAAAAAAGGAGACTTTAGGTTTACAACTAAAAGGCATAATGCTATCATACACAAATATCTAGCATCTAGCATTACTTCCAATCTCACAATTCTCAAGTCTGAACAGAAAAGTGAATTCAGGCAACACAGAAGTTCAACTTTGAAAAGTAATATCTCAATACTAACAGACTCTTAACTCCATGATGAAACTATTCTCTGAAAAGAGACTGTCATTCTCAGATTCCTTTCTCCAAATTGCCATTTAGTTTTCTACATAAAAATTATTTTTATCAGACAATGTTCTAGTGCTGTGAGATCAAGCACTGGACCGCAAGTTCGGTTTGAACCAAGGGTGACAGTTTAAACTCACCAGCCACTTCTTGGAAACTCTATGTATGCAGGGTCACTATGAGTAGGAATCGACTTGAGGACATTTAACAGCACCACTTTGGTGAGTGGCACCTGGGTATTAAAAGTTCACGAGTGGACGTTTAAGAAACAAATACAGCTATTTGTTTTTCTATGTGTGGAAGAAAGAGGAGCAATGAGACCTGAAGAGGCTTGAAGTCAACTTGTCCAACAGACAATGAAACATGTTAACATTAATCTCCACAGCCCTAAGGCCAACTACCAGGACCAACTGCTCCGAACACGATCACATTAGAAGGTCCTGCATAGAGTGGCATAATGATAGAACAAAACTCAAAATTATTTAAAAAACAAAAATCTAGGCTTACAATTCAGAAAGAGACTTTGACCTCAACACTCTAGTCCCGAAAGGAACACACCCTGTTTTCTGCCAAGTAGTAGATAGGTGTACAGGGGGACCAACACTACTATGATAAGCTCACTATGAATGATGGAATGACCAATCATTCAAGATCAAACGGGCAATATGTACCTAAGGACAATGGCCAGAAGGGACAGGGGAGGGGGGGAAGGGAAATAGGAGCCACAGGGAGCAAGCAGATGACTGCTGTTACACAGAGGGGATTGCAATCACTGAAATGAAAACAAGTTTGTTATTTGTAAACCTTCAACCAATTAACAATAAAAAGTTAAAAAAAAAGTTTCAATAATCTAAACCACAGTTTTAGTATTTATTTTCCCCAAAACCATCTTAATTATCATTTATTGGAAAATAATAGGAATCTCTACCACATACAAGAATTTTCTACAAGAAAATCTATTGCTGAAGATACAAGTTTTAGCTCTGAATGCTTGTTGAATTCTAGTAAAAGGCATAATGCAATAATAACTTTGACTTTAACCGCATTATGGGTACCATTTTTAGCATTACCAATTTTAATTAGGATAGCATTCAATCTTATGTTTAATTTTTAAAAGTGAAAACCCTTCAATGCAAACTCAAAGACTGTATGTACCAAACTACATGTCATTAATAATCTTTACCAATTGTTCCTGTTTTCTGTTTCATTGGTAAGTGATCCTTCCTGAGTAGGAAGATTCCTTCTTCAGGTGCCTGACAGGGATTTTTCTTCAGGAGTCTGACAGGGATTTACCTTCAGAATTTTTCTTGCTTGAAGGTAAAGAAATAGTCTTTGTGCAACCATATTGAGATCTTTAGAGAATACAATCATAACAAAACGACTTAGTGTCATTAATAAGTTGTTGTTGTTAGGTGCCATCGAGTCTGTTGTGACCCATAGCGACCCTGATAGGGTTTCCCAGGAGTGGCTGGTAAGCTTGAACCACCGACCTTGCAGTTCAAAACAGCTTTGCAGTCTAGTGCATCAACCCACAGCGCCACACCAGAACTCCAGTAGGATGGTTTTATTAGGGAGAAAAAAATATAACAATTTAAAGTTAAAAAAATAAATGTCTAATTAAGCTCTGGACAATGAAAAGACTGATGACCCCTCATGATATTTACAATGCCTTCAATCTATGAATACATCTGCTAACATAAACTCATTTGGAACACCATTTTACCTGTTCTTCTAAACGAGAAAGTTTGAGTTGTAGATCAGCTACTTGTTGCTCTTTATCCATCAGTTTTTCACTTGAAAGCTGTCTCTGCTCCTTCAGCCTGCCATGAGCTTCCCCTAGTTGGCGTTCTGTCTCCAAAAGTTTGCTGTGCAACTTTTAATAAAAAGAAAAAAATAGTATATACATATATTTTAACGCACACCAACACCACCATCATCATTGAAAATACAACACCTACCTCTCAAACAAAATATTACGTTTTACCAATATACATGCAATATCTTAATTTTTTCACCATTCTTTAAAGAACCTAAGACCTGATATAATAATTTTAGCTCCAAATAGATTCTCATTATTAAAGTGGTTTTTTTGTTTGTTTGTTTTTGCACTCTTAAAAATATATAATGAACTAGAAGCTGTCACCTGGATATAAATGTCAGAATCACTTGAGAAACTTAAAATATTAAAATCAAGCTTAAAAATGAAGACCCTCAGGGCCCATTCAGGCCAATTCCACATGATTTTCAGGAGTTCCACTATGATTCCTGTCAGTTTTACATAATTCAGAACCAAAAAGGACTTCCTACAGTGGATATATCAATTAGATAGAGCCAAACATTCCCAAGTGTCAGATTTGCACAAAATTTCTAAAAAATATATAAGAAATGATTTTTTTTAAGTATGTGACCTTCATTAATTAACATAAAAATGCCTAAACTAATATATTGCCTGCACTCACAAACTGCTCCACAAATACTCCCAGTTGACTAGGAACAAGTAAGGTTTTATCAGAAAAGCAGATCCCCAACTATTTCCCAATGCTGCTGTGAGTCGGAACCAACATGATGACACACAACGACAACGACAACATGAAATAACCTGTGGCTATCAGAATATACCCTATTCTTAATAAAGAGAACCAAAGTTAATTCCTAACAAACCATTGCTTCCATCCAACTAAAAGAGAATCAGTAACAGGAAGAAAACATTCACTTCAGTCTTGTCCCCATCCAGCACGCTGACTCCACTTTCCTCACTATGGTTCTCTTCTTTCTTCTGTACTGGGGGCACACACTAAGGGTCCACAACCTAGTTCTACATCAACAAAGAGAAAATGAATGAAATAATACTATATCTTCTACACAAAATTCACAAAAGAATTAGGCCCAATCCTGATAAGTGAAAACAAAGGAGGCCTTAATCTTTCAAGTATGTTAAGCACCTGATCCCTTACAAATAGGTGCCACACATTCCTTTTTCCTAGACTTTCTGCATAGGAATCTCCTGACACGACTGTACAAAGTTGATCAGAGCTTTCCTATAGAAAATGTAGATTTAGCATGCTAGAGCTGTAGCATTAGATGATACTTAGTTTCAGGAAAGTTCAGAAACACTATTCAAAACTGAAACACTAAAAAGCAACAGTTCTCAACCTCTGCTACACAGCACAATCAATGGGGAAACTCCCCCCCCACCACCACCGCCCTCCCCTTCTACAATGTTGTTGTTGTGAACTGCTGAGTCGGTTCCGACCCATACCTACCCTGTATAGGGTTTCAAAGGAGCAGCTGATGAGCTTGAACCACCAACCTTGTGGCTCAAATCAACTTTGCAGTCCAGTGCATTGACCCACAACACCACACAGGACTCCAGCTGTCAACAATAGAGATTCTGATTTAATCAAACTGGAAGGGCCTTGGCATTGGTAAGGTTTTAAATCTCCCCAGGTAGAATTGAGAACACTTGCAGATAATGACTGCTCTCAAGTGAGGAGCTCCTG